TCTGAAAGATATCCAATGATGTCTTAAACTTTTTCCTTTCTTAATTTTTCTAATATGACACCAAAAATTTGCTCATCTACATCTTTTATATGACCAAAGATGTCAGCTAGAGCTTCCTTCTCTTAAATATGGGCTTGCATTTTCTTTTTTATTTTGAATATTGAATTTTTATGACTCTAATTTTTGGTTAAATAATCAAAAAATCGATAATAGTATCTTATGCATTTTAGTAAATTTGAAGTTCAGACATTGTGTATATTGGAAATCGATAAAAAAAGAGGTAGAATATTACATTGAAAATAAATATTAACATTTATATAGCTAGATTCTTGAAGAATGAAGAATATCTTTTTGTTATATGAAATATTTTAATTTATACATAATTTGAGTTATATGATTGATTGACTCATTCTTCTTGTTTAACATCTCTATTTAAGTATAAATAAAGATTTCAGTTCTATACTTACAGATTGGAATATGCCTGAACAAAATCTTGTCCACTACTTAAAATATGTAAAATGAGTGATTTTAGAACTAATATAAGTGAAATAATGAGTAAAAGAGTTAAAGGAAAAAGGAGTAGATCTTTTCTAATTAGTAGGAATAAATACGAATAATAAGGCTTCTCAAGTTAGACATCTTCTATGAGCTTTGAATTTTAGAGTTCATTATGAGCCCCTTTTGGACTCTTTTTGATGTCTTAGAATGAATAGAGGACATCTGTAAGGGTTTTAAACTTATAGGTAGTCTCTCAAGATGTTTAAAATTACTTTATGGAAAATCAAGTAAGATGGTCGTAAGAATTGGGTAAAGTTGGTCTTCTAATAGAAATAAAATAGCTTCTGATAGATATGAGTCTAATTGTCTATAAGGATTGTAAAAACAGAATAATAAAAAGCAAATTTAAATGACCATAGGATTTGAGTAATGTTATTCTGATTATCTTCTGATAGAAATACATCAGCTTCGAGTAGTAAAAATAAGTCTTTCAATTTAAAGGGATGTTAAAAAGAGCAACAGAATGCAATGGCCAGGAAAATTGGGTAATGTAAGTCTATTAGAGAAATATAATTAATATTTAATAATAATATGTAAAAAAAAGAAAAGAAAAAAATATACTATTATAAAAAATAACTTTTTACATGGAAGAGATGAAATTCTAACAGATATAATCATCAAATATGCAAATTAATAATTTAGGTTCAAAGCATTTAATTAGAAAATCCATTTTCATATGAAGAATTACAATAAACAAAATTTTTTCATAAACTAATTCCAAAATATTTGGTTGTTATTATGAGATTTAACAAAGTAAGACAGAGGAAGAAGAAATATAAAATATTTAATCAGCTTTCCAATATTATTAAGACATTTTCATATATAAAGATATTCAAATTTTGTTAATTAATGAATATCAAAAATATTAGAGATTGGAGTTAAAAAGTAAGATATTAAAAAAATAAATAAATGATGTTGCCTATTTCTAATTTTTATAAAAAGAAAAACATCTAATTAGCTAAATTCCAACCGTTAACTATAATAAAATTAGAATAAGATTATTGTATATTATACTAAACATGCAATTAATATTATCTCAAATTCCAGTAATCTAAAAGAATTACTAATAAATTAAAATATTACCTATAGTATAATAGAAATTTGGGAAGATTAATAAGGATAACTTTTATGATATATTCTCAATTCAAAATGAACAACTTGATTATTCTGAATATATTTATAATCTTTTCTAAAACGTTAAAGAACTTAAAATAGATAATAAATTGGATAATAACAAAAATTATTTTTACAATATGATATTAGAGATAATATTAATTACATCCAATAAAATGTTATAATAAATTGAAATTGTACATGATGGATCAAATTTGAGACTTAAATCAGAATAAATTGATTAAATTTATGGTAAAATATTCTAAAATGAAAATTTTGATATAGAGCAAACATTTAATTTAAGAATTCAAAAGTCAAATTCATATAGAGATTAATATATTTAAAATGGGTTTCTTAATCATTTACCAATTAATAATTCAGAAAAAAATAAACTTGATTCAAAAAAAATTAAAAACCTATTTAAAGTTTTTTATTTTTATTATAGGAAACACAAACTAAAGCTTTGTTAGATTTAGTTAAGTTAGCCAACTTTTACACCTTAACTAAATCACAATAATCATTCTATTAGATACCAAGTTTCTCATAATTCTTAAACATTTGAAACTCAACTAATTAAAATGATTATAGATTTAAATTAAGTAAATTAATCAATTTTCTCGAAAGCATCATTACGATCAAGACATATCATGTAATAGGATAATAGTAACTTTTATTCCTCATATTTTTCCTTAAAATTGCCTATATCTCAGAATAAATAAAAATGTCTTAATTCAAAATCTTATACACCATACTATCATCATTTAAAGATTCTATAGATTAATATTAACTTAATCTTGTTTTAAAGTACTTTTAAAAGTGCAATCAAAAAAGTAAAATAAGTTGAGACATTAATGTATTATTATATAAATTAATATCATCTTTATAAGAAAAATTAGAGGATAATATTATAAAATTTTTTTTTATGAAATATCTTCAAATGAACTAATTCAATATAAAGATCTGAGTAATAATTTCCAAAAGAGTTTGAAATTTAAAGAATCTAATTTTATAAATTTTCAAACAAATGAACAAATACTAAATTCTTTGCCAATTTTGCATAGATTTAGCTAATGGCGAGATTCAATACCTTTTAGAGAATTATTAGGTGTAAAATCTAATGAAGATATTTAGAATGATTGTGAATATTAAACCTTATAAGATTAGTCATATTATAGATAGATTCGATCAAGATTAATAAATACTAAAAGAGAAAGAAATGTATTATATAATGTTGTTTATTCAAATCGAAGATAATTAATTCTTCTTGTGATTCATTTTTAATTAATATCAATTTAAAATAAATGAGAAATGTGTATCATTCTGAAGATAAACATTCCTTAATTAAAAATGTTGCAGAAACAAGTCTAGATAATATTAAATATGAAAATAACAATCTAAAAGTAAATATATCTAAGATTATACCTGAAAAACTGAAATTCTCTTCAAAACCTAGATTTTAAGCTTGTTAAAAAATATTAAAGTAAAAAGCCCAGGTGGAGGTCTTGTATAAGACAATTTAAAGATTTGAAAATCAAAATTATTTATTATAAATTTAATTTGTAATCGAGTAGGCCAGATCAATAATACCATTAGAGAAGGATAACCATTTTGGATTATTTAAACAGAATTTAAAATTTTAGCCATCAATATGAAAATAAAGATAGAAATAAATTGGAATATATCATTTGAAAATGCAATAACTTTAACACCTAAAACATAAAAAGAAGAAATAAAAAATGCTATAATTTCAAACTTTTCTTTATTAAATGATAGATCACATTTAATAGTAATTACATAGGATAGAATATTTTTTAAAAAGTTTAATGAAATAGAATTCTAGAATAAATTTGAAAACTAATTGCATAAAACAGTTGAATTTTATTGTATCCATAAGAATATATTTTTTAAAGCAATATATTGATTTATTTAAAATTCATCCAAATTAAAAATATATTAATTATTTTTAAAATAGTTGAACTTTAAATAAATGTAACAGTTTGAAATATTAAATGTGAAACTCTTTTGGAAACTTTCTCCTTCTTCTTATATTTAAGGCATCTATACTTAATTTCTTACAAAAACATAATTATCTATTTAATGAAAATTCCTAATAAACCAGAAATCAACATATAAATTTAAGCAAAGCCTAAGATTATTTTATTTTCTTCGCTAATTAAATAATTGTAATCTGTTAAATGAAATTTTGATGTCAAAGTAAAGTAATAATTTAAATTTTATCCAATTTTTCTAAATTGAATTCTGCATATATTAATAAACATAAATATATCATATTTGTTGTAGTTAATATTAATAATTAAATTAATGAATGATTTTGAAAACATATTAGGAAATAGCAAAAAAAAAATTGCTTAAGTAAGTATACTACCTTATATCTATAATTTATATTATAGTTTTTTCTTGTAAAGCCTATCTTTAATGATGAGATTATAAACTTTCCTGTAATAGCAAAAGTTAAATAAGATATAATAGTTTATATTTAAGAAATAATATCTAAATTTGATGAGGAATAGTAAATCCAAAACATTTGCTAATAATAAACCCTCTCCTCAATCTTAAAAAATTAATACACAAAAATCATTGTAAAAATGAATTAGTTGTTTCAAAAAAGATGTAGAGATTTTCAGGATAAATAATATTAGTGTACTTTAAATTTTATTGATACTATAAGTATTCCAATATTTCAACAAAAATTAAAAATTTCCAGAAATTAATACTACAACACTCCCAATTCCTTAAGCTATAATCATAACTTCTTAATATTAAGAGAGTTGTTTTGTCTTTTCAACATCAGATTTAACTAATTTTAGTATATTATTTGAAAAATATTTATTCAGATGGATTTATTAATTACATATCATATTAATTAAATACCTTATTCAGCAGAGATATTTATAAACTTATTAGACTATTTGGTTGTTAAAAAGAATTCTATATCTTTTTAAAATTAAAAGTTTAAAATTTAATTAATAACTGGCTTGTAATTGGATTCCAATTTTGTTGCAAAATCTTCTGAACTTGCTTCATTAACACTAAATTCAAAAAGAGATTGTAAATCATAATTATCCCTAAAATAAATTGATTATGAGAATGAAACATAAATATAATATTTATTATATGTTTAATTTAAGAATTAGACTTTCATATAAGGAGATTCAAAGTTTTAACATTCAGTGTAACTATTAGTTTTGTCTTAACACTTATAATCAATTTCAATTTTACAATTAGAAGAACAACCATCTACATTATTAATATTTTAATCATCACATTATTCTTCATAAGATTTTATTCCACTTCCACAACCATTATAACAAGTATTTTAAATCAATTAAAAATATTATTAACACTCTAAACAGATTCCTTCTTCACAATTTAAACAATATTTAGGACAAGAATATTCACAATTAAAACATCCATCAAATTATATATTATTTCCATCATCACATTATTCTTTTTATTATTTTATTCCATCACCACAAATTGAATAGCAAATACCATCAATATTAATTTCTCCATTTATACAATTATCATGACATATTCCATTAATACATTTCTAACACTCTGTTAAACATGCTAATTAACATTCATTATTAATTTCAACATAAGGTTACTCACAAATAAGACATTCTTTTGAATTTATACAAATTTAACAATTTTCTGGACAAACAAATTTACAATTTATACAATCATTTAAATTTGAATCACATTCTTCTTTAGATAAAATAGCTACTTAATTATCTCCGCAAATTTATTGACATATTCCATTAATAAGTTACCATCCTTAAATACAAGAAAAGCAATATGAATTCTAACATTAAAGACATTAAATTTGACAACTATCATTACATTTATAGCATCCAATTTCAATTAGACTCAATTGTAGTTCATCTTTAAATAAAAGTGCTCCTTTTGTAATTTAAGTAATACATAAATTATTTAATAGAAAATAATCAACCAAACATTTTTTACATTTTCCGTATTCACAAATTTCACAATATTAGGGACATTAAAATACTATATTTTACTATTTAATTCCAGATATTTCAAGATTATATGTAATGTCATAATCATCACAATAAGTAACATCAGAAATCTGATTTTCATTTATATCTGATCTAATACAACTTATAAATCTAAATTATGTTTGAAATTCCAAACATTTACCATTTATTAATTCATATGTTGGACTACATTATTAACAAACTCCAAAATTACATTCTTAACAATTTAATATACATTAGAAATTACAATTATAACATCCATCATTAGGAATGTTATTTCCATCATCACATTATTCATCCTCTTGAACTTTACCATCTCCACAAATGACAATTTCAGTTTCCTCTATAAAATATGAAAATTAATTATAATCAACTTAAATTTAATCTTATGGTAAATTATCATAATTTCGATTACATATTCCATTAGAATAATGATATCCTAAGTCGCATGTCTAACATTAACCAAATTTACAATTTTGACAATTCTTAGGACATGAAAACTGACACTCATGACATCCATCATAAGGGATGTCATTGCCATCATCACATGACTCATTTCCTGTTATTATTTTATCTCCGCAAGATGGTTCACAATTTTTATTTAAACTATTATAATCCCATCTAGTATCACACATCAAACATTCTCCTTTTACACAAAATGTACACCCTTCCAAACATGATTCTTACTTAGCAAAACAACCATCAAATGGTACTAAATTATCATCAATACATTAAATTAAGTTTATTGGCCCTCGAAGAATGACTGATAATTCACGAATGCCCACTGTACCATCTACGCTATATATTTATAATTTAATTTGATTTTTAGTATCATCAATTACCCATGTTCTATAATCAACCTACTTTTTCTCACTTATAAGTCCATATTTCCATTCATCATTGATGTAAACTCTAACTGTTATGGGCATAGTTGAAAGATATTCAATTCTAAATTGTATTATTAAGGAAAGATGATCTGGTAGTGTAAGATAAGTTATTGCAGAATCCCATTGATTTAAGACAAGCATTTTAAGTTAAACTCTAATTACTTTACATACTTACAATCATTGGTCTATAATGTAAAAGTGGGAAACTTATTCTTAATCCAACCTTCAAGACCATCATCAAGGTTCTGTAGTTGAAAAAATGATTGCCATAATATCCACATGATACAATCAGTTGTAGAATCTAAACAAAACTGGCATCCTAAGTAACATTCATATAAAGTTATAGAGAAATTAGTAAGTCCCCAAAAGTTCTTAAGATTTTAAAATAACAAATACAGTGGTTGAACAATCTGAGTAGAATTCTACAATGATTGAATTTAATGTATGTAGAGGGAAATCATTATATTATGAAGAACTATAGTCTGAACCAGTATCAGCACATATATTTGATCCTGTANCACAATTAAAGTATTCATCAAATTATATATTATTTCCATCATCAAATTATTCTTTTTATTATTTTATTCAATCACCACAAATTGAATAGCAAATCCCATCAATTTTAATTTCTCCATTTATACAATTATCATGACATATTCCATTAATTCATTTCTAACACTCTGTTAAACATGCTAATTAACATTCATTATTAATTTCAACATAAGGCTACTCACAAATAAGACATTTTTTTGAATTAATACAAATTTAACAATTTTCTGGACATAAAAATTTACAATTTACACAATCATTTAAATTTGAATCACATTCTTCTTTAAATAAAATAGCTTAATTATCCGCAAATGTATTTTCATATTCCATCAATAAGTTACCATCCTTAAATACAAGAAAAGCAATGTGAATTCTAACATTAAAGACATTAAATTTGACAACTATCATTACATTTATAGCATCCAATTTCAATTAGACTCAATTTTAGTTCATCTTTAAATAAAAGTGCTTCTTTTTTAATTTAAGTAATACATAAATTATTTAATAGAAAATAATCAACCAAACTTTTTTTACATTTTCCATATTCACAAATTTCACAATATTAAGGACATTAAAATACTATATTTTACTTTTTAATTCCAGATATTTCAAGATTATACATAATGTCATAATCATCACAATAAGTAACATCAGAAATCTGATTTTCATTTATATCTGATCTAATACAACTTATAAATCTAAATTATGTTTGAAATTCCAAACATTTACCATTTATTAATTCATATGTTGGACTACATTATTAACAAACTCCAAAATTACATTCTTAACAATTTAATAT